AATGACTAAATTATTATATATATATAATTTTGTTAAATTAATATTATTATAAACACTCAATTCGAAGTGCACGATTTTTGATTTTCCAAATTGGTAAAATTTCCTTCCATAGCTATTCTTATCAGAGAGATGATATGTTATTAATGAACTTTTATCATTCTCTTTTGGCTTTTTCATTACTTAGATTAAAATATGCAGGCTTCTCCAACTTTTAAATCTCATATCTATTTTACTAAAGGATTGAACTTTTCTTATATAATTTAGATTGGAGCTAGAAATAGGTTTAAAAAAATGATTGTTTTCATTCAATCTATTTCCAATATAATTTTAGCGTTTCATTTTCAAAGAACCTTATAATGGCTAGATTTACAATATAATAATCTTTTTAAACTGCTATACAAACTTAAAAAGAAAGATATTATAACATAGCTTTCCCAGACTAATCTATCTTTAGAATTAAGATATTAGTTCTAAAATTGCCATCTTATGTGGACATTGTGTGCTTTTTACATTCTTCTATAATATTAAAATTATCTCAATGTATGTGATAAAAGGAATCTTGATTGAAATAAACCTATTTTTAATATATTTAAGCTTAATTCAATAAGGTCTCAGAAAATACAAATACAACTCATAAATTGAATATCTTCATGCAGATCTTGATGTATAAGGGGTAAACCAATGCTTAAATATATAATATTCTTAGGTCTGATTATTCAAAGAGTCCTCATAAAACCCAACCTAATGAATATAGAGAAGAAATGGTTAGAAAAATTATAAAAAATTTTGTAGAGCACAGGAAGATTCGTTTACTTGCATAAGTATGGGATCTTCTTAAGTTGTTTACTCGATTATTTTGAACCACAAAAAAAAAAAAAGGGTGATTGACTAAGTACTTTATGTTTTAGAATTGATAATAGATCTCAGTCAACTTAATTACAAAATTAGTGGAACTTTAAAAGGAAAATACATTACAGGAAAGTCTATTAAGAACTCCTTACATAGATAGATTTTGTTATTTGCTAAAACATATGGATCGTTGAACACTGCCACACTGTGCTAAATATAGAAAAAAAAAGACATTAGTCCTGATACAATACCCCTAGAATAGTAAAAGTATTGAAAGCATCTTAATTAACTAGACACAGGATCCTTAAAGAATGTAAACATGTGACTCTCAAATTGTAACTCAATTAAACATATAAGTGTTGCTTGATCAATATTATGGTTAATCTTAATAAGGTTGAAGCCATAGCATTAGGTGAGCATGGGCGACAATAATAAAGTGATTATAGGAGACCAAATGATGTCTTATTTGACTTTTGTAAACTCAAAGACTGAAAGGTTTTCGAATCTTAATTTAAAACACAAAAAATTTAAGAAGGTCCAATGCTGGATAACTACTGTAACCCACTCAATAAGTAATAAGGATTAAGAAAACAAGGAGCTGTTAATTAATCAAACATGAAGTTTGTAGAATATAAATTTCTTAACTTTCAAACTTTAATGTAAATACTAGTTTAAAATAATAGCTGTTAATATTTGAATAAAAATTCAATCGAAACATCTTTACACACAGAAAAAGAGAAGTTTCGATCAAAATATATGTTCTAAAGATTGTATCAAAGCCAATTCTAATTTTTCAAAGAAAACTTGGATAATTATGAGCAAATTTTTTTTTGGAATAAAAGGGTCTGGGGTGGTCAGTGCGTTTTGGTAGATAATTTACAACAGAAAATGGTTAGCCACATAAGATTTATTAAATAAATACGTCAAGATTTGTGTTTTAGGTAATTTATCTTGTTTTATTTTAGAGACATAAAATTCAGCTTAATCTCTTTGTCTAGAATGGAGGTCTTGTTCAGATCCTGAGTTAGATAAAATTAGTATTAGATAAATAGTATCAGATTATAATTAATTGATGATTAATAATATAATGCTAAATATAAGGTAAAAATCTGATTAACACTTAAGAAAATTGATTATACCCATAACATCATTTGAAAAATTTCTCATAAAAATGGCTACTTTACTTTAAATTGAAAATTCTGTAATCAATATTTTCTTTTCAAAAATTCATAGTGAAATCATAATTTTTGATTTTCGTAATTTACCTATTATTTCTTTCAATATTCGTTGATTATCATGCAAATGAAAATATAATAGAAATTTTAAATCGAATAGCAAATATAGAATGAGACCTAAATGTAAACATAAATTATTTCTACTTTTTTTAAAATATTAATAAGTGCTTATTGGAAACTGTAAATATGTGAATATGATTTTTTGGCTTACATATGTCTCTTATAATATGTACAAGCAATTTTAGTGAACCTTAAACAAGATTTATCTATTGATGTTTTATTATTGCTAATACATATTACTTTGCTTGATATTAGGCACGTTTTGAATAGTCAGAAGAATTTCATTGATTAATGAATTCATCTAAATAATCTACTGGGTGGATGATTACATAAATTTTATTTTGGATTTTCAAAACCTCTTATTTGTACACTTTATAATTCTTTGATTTTGTTGATTTCAACTGACATATCTGCTATAGATCTGGATAGTATTATGACTTGAATGAATTTAGCTAAACTGACACATTTAATGATGTATTCTAAGTAATCCATCTTTCTGATAATCTTACATATGTGGTAAGTATAAAATATCATTTGAGCAAACCCAGCACTATTAGTAAATACTTTGACTCAACCAGCACAGAACATCAAAGAGCTAAATTTGAAACTGAATTTCATTTTCATTTTGAAATACTTTAGTAAATGTAAAAAGGCCATTTCTATAACTTTTGAAACTCATCTAACTTGGATAAATTAAAATCCTTTTTATGAATTGTCATACAAAATTTAAGTTAATCCTAATCATAGCTTTTGTCGAATCTCTTCCTCTTGACTTTCTTTTAATTATATAATGAGTATTTAAATTAGAATTCTAGCAAATGTATTCATATCCTCATCAAATATCCACAATCTGCTTTATATAAATTCTTAATCAGAACGAACGATTCATAGATTAAGAAATTTAACACTGAGAAATTTATTTAGACATAAACTCAATATCTGAAATTATCAATTATATTTGAAGAATCTATAATTAATTATATATTATTGCAACGCTTATATCAATTATTCTCTTAAAGGCATTTGTTTAAGAATGTATATTAGAATTGGATTTTAGAAAAGATTTGAATCCAAAAAATAGCAAATTAATTGCATTAGTAAAACAAATTTACACTTATTTAAAATATTTTTAGTATTTTGGTATTTATCAGAAAGCACTAGATTCCAATTTACTTGCAGATTTGAAATGCGACTCTAATAAACGATTTAAGGAAGAGCATGTAAGAAAGTATGAAGTCCACATTAATACAAAGAATTTCTCTTTTTTATCGCCTGCATTCAACAAAAGTTCTATTTTAATTTGTTGATTCAACATAAAATGAATGCACTAAGGATTCCACGAAACATATTTTGATTGAAGATGTAGATCAATTGTCTGGAGGCAGTCTGTTCATATTCTTAATAAAGTTGATAATAGTAAAGAAGTCACTATTTAGTATTTTCAATTCACTCTCAATTCTAATTCATCTAAGCATGATAGATCACTCGTTTTTTTACCTTTTAGAAATTCTATATATTAATATCAACTATTTTATCACCTTACTAATTTTGCCAAAATTTTTCCTAGTAATCTTTATAGAGAAGTTACTTTAGCTATAAAATAATATTGCCATGTCAAAATGCAGATGTAAAGTAGATATTTAATGATTGAATCATTAAAAATATTTTGAATGATAGAAAACAGATTACCAAAAATAATATTCTAATTTAGTTTGAATAATAATTAATTCAAATAATTCTTAATATAGCGTTAATCAAAAATGGACAACAGGATTTATGAAGTAGAATAATTCACTTTAGAATATTTTCTGTAACTTTTAGATAAGTAATTCTTTTAACTTTAAACACATTAAAAAAATTATTACAAAATACAAATAGAAGCAAGAGGATCTATAAGAAGTTCACTTTATTGATGCATTACTTAGTTAATCTTAAATCCTTGATTAAAGATTTGATATTGGTTTTGAAATTACTAAGATTGTATCTTACTAAGAACTAAGAGGAGCATGTATAAATCATAAAATTTGCATTATCCAAATATATCCTCCTAAACGATTGATACTTTAAACTTTAATTTTTTTGTTATTATTGCTATTACATTAGGTAATAGAAATAAATGAATCTTCTTTTGTAAAACTTTCTCCTCATTTCAAATTTAAAGGAAGAACTTTTTAATGAAAGTAAGGCCATTAGATCAAGCAAATATTGCCATAACGATAACTTTTATTTGAATCTGTCTTCATACATTTTTTCCAAGAACCAATAACTATAATTTGTTTATTAATAATTAGAGTTGAAAATAAATTATAAATTACAAAATTGCTTAATTTTTTATTTTCAGATTAAATTATAAAAATGAGCGTTATAAGATATTTAACTACTAATTGTAAAATTTATTTTCTTGGTGTATTTTTATATTTGATCTAGATAATTTCCTCTCAATCTAAGATATAAATAAAGTATTCAATGTAAAATAACAAATAGCTTTTATATAAGTATTATATGAAATTAAATTGTCTTTCTTGATGAATTAAGGAGATCATTGTGTGAATTTTGAGTTAATATTAATAGAATTTGGATTATTGAAATAAGTGTTTGTGAATTAATATAAATTGAATATAAATTATAAACAAATGATTTAATAAACAAGTATGAAGTTAAAATGTTAAGAAGATAACCATAAGGAAGAGATTGATATTATTTGTTATTATGAGTTTTGTAAAGGATTTCGGTTAAATTGTTTTGATTGTTTTAAAAAGGGACTCCATCATACTCATTCTGATGATGTAAAAAAAGCTAACAGTTTGATTCCATTTATTGAAAGTAAAAATAAAGACTGTGACAATTTGATTGATGATCTCAATAAATACTTTGAAACTCTGAAACAATCATTCTCTTAATTAACTTAAGGAATTAGAAATAAATACTTATTAGTAAAAGAAAGATATGCGAATATGAATTCTTACTAAATTAATGATTATTTGAATTCAACTATCAAGTTAAATGAATATAAATAATCAATATCAAAAATCATTTAAGAATAGATTAAGAAATTAAATCATTCATTTAATAATTTATATGAATAATTGTAATTATCATCATTTAATTATTATTAAAGTGATGATAATAATAGTAAACTAGCTGAAGATTTATGCAAATAAGGTAATCTAATAATACTTTCTTTTAGGTTAACAATTATATGCTGATGATAAATTTAATGAGGCTTTATAATAAATAGAAAAGTCAATTTTATTGAATCCAAATAATGAGGAATCCTTATGTTATAAAGGTTTAATTAATTAATTTTAATAATAATAGGTGCATGTTTAAGGATGTTAGAAAAAGGCGAGGATGCAATCATTTGGATGGACAAAGCATTAGCTATTGATCCAAAACATGTTTTTTCCTTATGGAATAAAGGTAGATTTCTCCATAGTTATATTGATAGGTTCATGTTTAAGAATGCTAAAGAAATACAAGGATGCAATCATTTGGTTGGACAAAGCATTAGCTATTGATCCAAAAGATGTTTTTTCCTTAAGTGAGAAAGGTAGATTTCTTCATAGTTATATTAATAGGGGCATGTTTAAGAATGTTAAATAAATACTAGGATGCAATCATTTGGTTGGACAAAGCATTAGCTATTGATCCAAAAGATGTTTTTTCCTTAAGTGAGAAAGGTAGATTTCTTCATAGTTATATTAATAGGGGCATGTTTAAGAATGTTAAACTAATACGAGGATGCAATCATTTGGTTCGACAAAGGATTAGCTATTGATCCAAATCATGTTTTTTTCTTAAGTGAGAAAGGTAGATTTCTTAATAGTGATATTAATAGGTGCATGTTTAAAAATGTTAGATAAATACTAGGATGCAATCATTTGGTTGAACAAAGCATTAGCTATTGATCCAAAACATGTTAATTCCTTAAGTGAGAAAGGTAGATTTCTTAATAGTGATATTAATAGGTTCATGCTTAAAAATGTTAGATAAATACTAGGATGCCATCAGTTGGTTCGACACAGCATTAACTATTGATCCAAAACATGTTGATTCCTTAAGTGAGAAAGGTAGACTTCTTCATATTTATATTAATAGGTCATACTTTAAGATTAATGAAATAATATGATAAATCTTAACAAGTTCTCAATTAAGCACTATCGCACAATCCTAATCACATATTTAGTCTTAATTAGCTTGGTATAAAATGATTAACATTTAGCAATGTGTTTACAAGATTAGATGAAATGTTAAGATGCTCTGATCTATAATGAAAGAAGTTTAAAGACCCAAGCAGATATTTAATCTATCAAAAATTTTAAGGGTATTTGTATTTTGTAAATCTAGAATTTTGTAAGCAGAAATTGAAAAAGTGATATTTTAATAATGAACTATAATAATTTCTTAATTTAATTAGATTATTTATTTTTTATTATTTATATCAAAGAATTATATCAAAATCATTTTCAAGAATATTTTTCAATACAATCAGAATATTGTTTTGAAATTCTATCCATTAAATTGATATATCTGAATTTGAAATGATATTAGTCTTCCAAAGTTACACTCAAATAATGGTCATTTTCATTATCTAATTCAAATAATTCTAAATCCTCTTAAAAATGACCTCCTTTTATCATATTTTTTCACCAACAAGATAGAATTGCATATGATACTATAAATTACATTAGTCCTTGTATGAATTTCGAATATTCTAGATATAATTTTAAAAGATTTTGTTAGATTTTCGATCCGAAAATTTAAGATATTAGGCAAAAAAGCCAACCAATTAAAATCATCATGAATTCGCTACCTCAATAATGTATATTGATTTCTTTCAATTATTTGTGCAAAATCTCTATACATATTAATTTAAGAACAAGAACTTGGTAATACTCAATAATCAAATGATTTCGAAGTTAGGTACAATATTCATTTTTTTGGAATAATATCTGAGTTGCATATGATTTATATACTTATGGTTTCCTCAAAATTTTTCTAATCAAACCTTTATTGCTTGTACATCTTATCCAAGTTAAACAGATAGCAATCTTAAAAACGGATCCTTTTTTGAGTTTCCTATCCATAGAATCTAACTTTTTAGGAATTAAATCATCTCTATGGAGTTGATCTAATGAACTTTCATATAAACGTTAGAAAAATTCTCATCACAATTTGTGAATGCCACTAGATTTCTAATTAGGGATTATTGGACTTTAGAATTTTTTGATGCAAAGTTGCTAAAATCCTAACAATTCTCTATGATACTTATAGAAACCAAGAATACTATAAATCAATTTCTATATTTAGTTGTGTCATTTACTTGGAATCTAAAAGTAAACAAGTTAATGTTGTATATTTCAGAATTAATCCAATTTTTAATTTCAGTTCAGAAATTTATTCAAAATTTATGAGATCTTTAAATTGCATCACAAGGTTGCCCTCGGAAACAACTCTCATGCAATCAAGTAATATTATTTCAATTAGTATAATTCAGATGGGAATAATTAAATAAAAGTATTAGGTTTGACAAGCCTTGGATCCTAATATTCATGATTCGCTGTAAGTCATCACATTTAACCAGCAATTCAAAGTGATTCATAAGTTGGTTCTTATAATTGTTTTTAAAAACTGCTTTATTAAAAATATCAGATATTTTTTAGCATTTTTCTGGTTGATTATCACAATTAATTCGAATAAATTAAAATCTTAGTGTTCCTTATTTCTTTACTTTATACTCAGAGGCTGGACGACCAAAGCATCTTCAAATATAAAAAATGAAAGATTTTCAACTTCACTGCCTCTTCGAATCTTAAGCATATAGGCATATAGGCCCAGATGTAGCCCTCACACTACCAATAGTTTAAAAACCTTTTTGATAATAAACCCTATAATTAATTCAATTCCTCCTTTTTTTTGTTTTATCTTTCTCATTCATCCTATATAGTTACCTCACCTCAAGACATGTAAGTATTGGTGAATTAAAATGAAGATTACTTGTTTATTTGGAAATCATTATTCTCAAGGCCTTTGTCTCATAAGACATATATATGATTTATTATTAATCTGAAAGTTGTTTGTGTATAAGAAATTACTCCACAGTTTGATTGGAAATTCATTTCACATAATATTTATGGCATCCTATTTGTTCAGTTCAAAGAATTTCAACACTCCTGACTCAAATAATTAGGTTCTATGTTTATTTTATACTATTGGGGTGGAACTATTATATCTTCTTTTAAGACTATTGTTATTCTCTTGCTAATTTTCTACTGTATTTGGTCTCTCTGAATCAGCATTTATAATATTAAATTTTATTTTTAATATCTACTTGTAGAAGAAGCCTAACAATATTTGATGAAATTCAACTTAATCATTTAGCTCGAAGAAATTCCTTTCAATAAATACCAGTTATTACTAAGATAAATCAACAGAAGGTTTAACCCGATTAAAATTATGAATTAATTAGATTCTCAAAAAGGCTATATACTATTAAATAATTTTTTTGGAGAGTTTATTAATGAAATATGATCAATGTAGGAGTGAAATTGTTTTCATATGATTCAATTAATTAGTTTACTCTCTTTATTCAGTTATTTTTTCGAAAATTTTTTTGATTCATTTTCAAGGTTTAGATCATAAAATCATACACCAACCGCAAAGTAATAATTTACATCCTACTCTTCGATCTCCACACAAGTCGACAAAAGAACATATAATAATAATATGATTAAAATATCGGCAATTTGATAGGTTAGATCAAAATACTTAGATGAGTATTAGTCAGGAAAATGCTATACCATTTTAATAAACGAATAAATTTTATAGTTACTTCATAAAAACATTTTAAAAAGTTCCCTATTGTTATTGCCATAAGTTCTTTGTAATATAAAATCTCTACATTTATTGATCAATCTGTGTTTAGTCGTCATCCATTATTGCTAGCACCTTATAAGTGAATCAACTCTGAAAGTTTCTTAAATTTCTTAAAAGCAAAAAACCTAAAACATTTTCTTGGAAAAGCTTTTTGAAACCTTTCTAATACTACTTAAAAATAAAACTATCGCTATTATCTTTAGAATCTTGTCCTCATCTTTTACAATCTGCTTTAATTTTAAATTAATTTCCTTCAATTTCTATGGAAAAATGATGAATTAAATTTGTTTATGTTCAATAAATTGAAGTAATCTTTTATTTTTCAACATTTTTGATTTAATTAAGATGGTATAATACTCCTTAGATTTGCTTTAAGAATATCTGGAAATTATCTATTTAAGATGTCATCTAATCTAATCAAATCTCTCTCTGTATTCCTTGAAACTAATCTTTAGTATATGGGATGATATTCTAATTATCAAATACCCTAGTCTGCCATGATAAATTTCTACATTATTTTATGCCCCTAATTAATTTCATCTCAGGTCCAATTCAATCATATTTAAATTATTCAAAAGATGAAATAAAGAGTTTGTCACCAACAGTTCAAACCTTAAAAATGTGACCTAATTAGACTTAAAGTTAGAATTTTAAATCCTTAACTTTGTTAAGTATGTTTTTTATTTCTACAACTTGTTTCCATACCATCTTGTTATTTATGCATTTTAAATAAAAGCAAGAATCTAATCAATATCAAAAATTTTCTTTCCTTCTTGGGCAGGATAACAAATAAAAAAATGAGAACATTATCAATTAGATCACAAGAGTAGATATTAGGAAGAAGAATTATCTTCAAAAGCCGTTAAATTATAGTGAATGCTAAATATCTTGGGATCAAATCTAGATATTAAGGGATTGAAAAGGAAAATGTGAATCCTTTGTAGAATAAACCTAGGATAACATATATATA